ACACTTGCTAAATCGCAAAGCATAATTGTTATTACTTTCCGATGCAATGTTTGTTAATCTTGGAAGAACGTGCTGAATCATATTAACTAAATCAGTTGAGCCCGGGTTTTGCTTCGTTATTCCCGTATAATAAAATCCATATTTTTTACATAATAGTTCAAACAAGGTTCTAGTTTTACCAGAACCTGAAGTTCCTAACACAACTAAACATTCTTTAATTTGAGAAATCTTTTCTAAATCAAGAGTATTTGTTATTCCACCATTTTCATCTACCATAGAAAGATTGTATACAAGGAGAGAAGGCCGAGGCTGCAGACATAACGGATTTAACGGAAGATAGAGATTTCGAATTTCTTTAAAATGCGGATGATTTTCATTTGGATTAAAATTTGGAAGTTCAAGTTTTTCATTTTTACATTTTATAAATAAGTCACGGAAATTAAGGAGAATTTTTTCAACATCAGAGTATATAGAATTTCCACTTGAAGCCTTCATACTCCACTTTAACTTGGGTACGAATTGTGTTTTAATAATAGTTGTCGGTTTTTTTTTCTTGATAACATTCGCAACGTGATTTTCTTTTTCTGCCAATACTCGTTGGATTAATTGTTGTAAATCATCCCAGATGTAATTAGCATTATTAATATCATCCTTTTTTTTTAAAAAAAAAGGAAGTTATATTAGAATCAAAACAATTAAATCAGGGTTGTGAGCTAATGGGAAAAAGTCATTAAACAAATATATATTTATTCATAATCTTTATATGTCTAATGGTTGTCTAATACTGTCTATTTACAACCCAGGTTAAATAAAAAAATCGCTTTGACTTATGAGTCAAAAGAAAATTTTAACAAATTCCACCTCAAGAATTCTAGTCTTCTCAAAGACAAAAACGGCTAGATGTAGAGGACCACACCTCTATTGTGTCTCCGAGTCTTTTCGATGTCATCAACACACATCTAATTCGTAACTGTGTTACTCCCCATTGAGGCGAAGTCGACAGGGCACAAATTAACCTGACAACAAAGTCACCGTCTCAAATCCTCTTTTTTTACTCACCCTTTTTTTTTTAATAAGTTCTCTAACGGCAGTACGAAGTTCTTCAGGTGCGTTTGAATCTTTATCTATCACCTCTAAAGCTTTATAAAACATTCGGTTGATATTTTTTTTATTTAAAAGATCAAATATCCAGGTAAGAAAGTAAGGATATGACCACGTAGGGTATGGATTATTTGCAAAATATTTAACAAAAGGTGAATCCCATTTGTTAAATTCTTTAAGCGAAGGTAAAGTTTCTTCTGTGAATGTGTTGTGTTATACATTGTAGTGTCTTAATCAGAACACGAATTTTTGTTATTTGTGTTTTTTATGTTTTTCGCATTTGGTTTGTTACACAAGATAAGATCCTGCAATTTTAGCGATAGAAATGTTTCATATGGCTTAATGCCCTAAAAATTGTTTAATGATGGAAGGTTGTTTGACATTGTATTGCTATATTGTCTTACTAAATAGTATATAGCGATAGAACTAGATACGTATTATGGCAATACTGCAAAAAGATGTATGCCTACGTATTAAAAATCTGGGCATTGCCATTTTGTACGTACGATTTTTTATATGTAAAAAGAAACGTACATCGATAAATTAAAGAAGGTTTTTTTAAAAATTAGGAGAGTAGATGGAAAAAGTCTTTTTAATAAATGAAAAAAACCATTATTTATATCTTTTTTTTTTCTTAGGAATAATTCGAAATAATAAGCTTATCGAAGGGAAAATGATGTATTTTGGGGAAAAATATACCTTTTCTGGAAATTTGTATAGCAAAGTAAATGCATTGGGCCTTTTTAAAGTACAACTTCCCTGTTATGACAGTTACTCAGATAGGCAAGTCACGGGATGTAAGTTTCTATTT